GAGAGCTGCAGCTGCTTGGCCAGCTCACCACACCTACTCCCTGTTTGAAACTGTTGGTGTATAATTTTACACTTTTTTCATGGTCCTTCTTGAATTTCAGTTTTGCAGTTCCTGTTGATGCTTTATAGGACTTGGTATGACTCTTTTTTTTCATAGATTTTTAAATTTTTTATTTCATGTACATTGTTGTTTTGCCCTTTATATGACTTTAAAAGATACGGGATTTTTTTCTTTTTAACCCAAAGGCTTGCCCCCCCCCCTTTTTTTTGTCCAGTCACACAGATCAGCATTCTTTGATTGTTAGATGACAGTATATAGGTGTGAATGTATTCACCTGATGATTCCTGCTTGTGTGTGTGATGTGTGTGGAGGCGCGTTTCCCTGTGTATACACGTGTGGATCTCAGAACAACTCTCTGAAGTTGGTTTTCTTCTTCCACCTTCCCATGGCTTTCTAGCTTCACACTCAGAAAGCCAGGAGGCTTGTATGGTACCTGATAGCCTGACTGGTTTATTTTTGATATGGTAAATGCTATTTCTTCTCACTGTAGACTTGAGGGTACTAGCACTGTAAAGAAACAAAGCAATCTAAGCATAGTTATCTTAGTGATTACTCACACTGTGCTCACTTGGGTGTTTTAACGAGTTATTTATCTCACGCGAATGTTTTCCCTGCGTATGGTGCACTGTGCGCATGTGTGCCTAGCAGCTGAGGGGTTGTGAAGGTGTGAGACTCTCGAAACTAGAGCTATGGATGATTGTGAGGCACTGTGGGTTCTGGGAGCTGAACTGAGACTTCAGCAAACAAGTGCCCTTGTCCACTGAACCGCCTGTCCAGTCCACATCCTTTACCGTTTTTCCATCCTTACTACTTTCGCTTGCTTCTTTGATTAGATTTCAGATTATAGTACATATGAAATTTTATTTATTAATGTAAACGTCTATTCATGTACTCACTGTGTGTGTGGGTGTGTGTGTGAGTGTGTGTTAGTATCAGCACTTGCATGCCACAGCATTCCCACCTGTGGAAACTCAGAGTGTGCCCTGCCCAGAGTCAGGATTCCCCTTCGCCTGTTCTGTCTGTGTCCTCCAGGTTAGCGGGCTCTGAGCTTCTGGTAGATTTCTGTGTGCCTGCCTTCCATCTTGCAGTAGGATGTGGTTATGGAGGTGACACCACCCTTTTTACAGGTTCCAGGGATTGGACCCAGGTTGTCAGGCTTGTGTGGCAAATACTTTTTTTGCCTGCTGAGCCTTCTCCCTGGCCCCATAATTTTATATTTTTATTTAATGAGTACTACTTTCTCATGTCATTAAATAATTTTCAAAATGTTTTTCTCAACACCTTAAATATTGTCTGTTGTAATGCAGTACCATAATTTATGTTTTCCTTCAGCTCTTAATTCCTATTCTTTGTTGGTCATGAATATTACAGAGACAGACATTTTGGTATGTAAAGGTCCCAGCACCTGTGGTGGCTCACAACTGAATGTCCCTCTATCACAGGGCCGTCTAGTACCTCTGGGCTCTGAAGGCACCTGTACTAACACACAGACACACACACAGAAAATATAGAAAAGTGCAGCTGGCAGCCTTTGCTTTTCCTGTTTAAACGTGTTTCATTAGCGTGTGTGGCTGTCCATGGTGTGCAGATGGTGGGCAGAGAGCAGCTCCGGGAAGCGGGCCTCTCCTCCTGCCCTGACTGTGGGCTCAGTGCTTCTGCTTGCTGAAGCAGCACCTCACTGGCCCTCACCCAGGACTTCTCTTGTCTCTGGCATTCAGATGGGTCTCACTGTTAGATCTGAAGTGTGCCATTACACATTCTGGTTGTTGTAAACACGTGAGCCTTTCCCTGTGTAGACAAGAACCTCTCTCTAAGTACAGCCTTCTACTGCATCTTTGTTGTCTTGTCCTAAGATCCTTTCAGAGAGCACCACACTCACTCTTGGTAGCATCTCTTAATTTGTCTATGCTCTCGCCATCTCTTGTTTAGTTCTATAAAGTTCGTACATTTCATCCTGAAACCCGCGTCAGGAAGGAGGCAAGCTGTGAGTGTCATGCCTGGACACACGATCTGCTTGTCAAGCAGTAGCTGCAGATGAGCGGTGAGGTAAATTCACGTTGTATGGCAGCAGCAGCATTCAAGACTTCACTTTTTTATCTCCACCTGTTTGCATGATAGAAATGTGTTACCTTTCTGTGTCATTGATGTAACAGATGGAGAAGAGAAAAATTAAAAAGGTATGAGTGGATTTTTTGTTCTTTGAGACAGGGTTTCTCTGTGTAGCCCTGGCTGTCCTGGACTCACTTTGTAAACCACACTGGCCTCAAACTCACAGCAATCCTCCTGCCTCTGCCTCCTGAGTGCTGAGATTAAAGGCATGCGCCACCATGCCTGGCATGAGTGGAATTTTGTAAATGAAGAGAGAAATTATTCTTACTGTTTTCTTGAATGCAGAAATGATGGAAATGACAAAGGGACACAAGAAAAGGGATGATTTAAGAATAACTAAGCATTTAAGAAAGACTTCTTCCTCCCATTGTGATCTCTGTTTGTTAAAAATGATAAAACAAAGGCTTACAAATTCGGACAAAAGCAGGAAATCCTATTAGTGGCTGCCAGTTTGACAGTCAAGCCTAAAGAAAAGCTTACTTCTGTTAGATTTTAATGCTTTGCTCACAAAGTCTTCTATTTCTTTTTTTAATAAGGCGTGGTTTTATTTTCATATATTTTTAGTAAAGAGTCCAAATTATAATCATCCTCATTTTTTGAAGGTTTGAAATTTTGAAGGCTTGAGGAAAAATTTTTCCGGATTTATAAAACCTCTTCCTACTCCCCTGGTTTAGCACAAAGAACCCTTTCCTTCTGATAATCACTAACGGAGTGCTGGACTCAGTGTAAAGGGAAGGACATTGCCTGTAGCTTCCACTTCCACCTTGAGAGAGGAGACCAGGAGCCCCTGAAGGTCACTCACGCTCTGGTCTGGTGATGACGTAGGAAACAGGCTCTGGAGCTGGAGTGAGGTTAATCTGCAGCACAGCAGTTAGGGATGCCCGGAGATGAATGATTTGCTTTACAGCGATATCAGAGCTTTCAGCCATAATGACCATAGTTTTTATATTTATTTGCTTTTATTTACTTATGTTTTGATACTGTGTTGTGGTTTCAGAAAATACTAAAAAAAATAATTTATTTGTTTTTCAAAAATGTTTTTAAAACAAACAAACAAGCCAGAAAAGCTTGTTGTCCTGAGGCTATGTGAGGAAGAATGAAGCGCTCATTTCCCAGTACCCAATCATAGGCTTGAGCTGGCCTCTCCTAGGAACAGAATTTATTGAAGCAATTTATCCTGGCTAAATGTGATATAAATCTGTGTATACGAATGTACATACAGAGTCTATTCCATTACAGCAGGACTGAAACATCAGTTTCCTTCACAGTTAGACCATGTTCCTATCACATTGAAAGATGACCAAGCAGCCCCTTCTATTTTACGGGGCACCTCATACTTTTAAACACCGATTAGTTGTGGAATTACCGATTAGACAGCCAGAAATACTGGTTTCTAGCCCAAAAGTAAATCCTAGGAGAGTAGGAGTGGTATTGCCTAGTTGCCCTCTATTTTCAGCATGGTTTTCTGGGGACTAGAGTCATTCTAGCATGTTAACATTTTTATTTGAATGCAGGTCTGACGGAGATTGACCTGACATTTGGGTTTATCTCCAATATCAAGTTCGAGATTTGGATACAGTTCTGAAGCTTTTCCCAGACACATTCCAACGATCATCCATCACTTGTCTTTCCTTGTTCACGTCCTTGTATGTATGGGTCCGTGTTGTGGCTGGCTGTGTGACACTGTCCTTAGAGCCTTGTGCTATAAGACTACGTTCATCCTTCCTCTCAGTTTTCTTTGACTCTTCAAAAATACTGTTTATCTTTTACGGATATTTCACTGTAATTTGCATTTCTAATTGTTATTTGTCTCTGCCTTATTTTTATTCTTAGTTGGAATATGAAAGATTTCAATACATTCAGATTGCATTTGTTGTTTTTGACAAAGAATTTTGATAGACGTTTCAAGAGATTAGCTTTAATCATTTAAAAAAGCAATATAAATTCTGTTAAATTCTTCAGAGAAGTGGAGGGGGTGGACAGTGGTGCCTTTAAGTGCATTTCTTTTATCCCCTGTAGCAACGCACATCTGTTGGCTGCAGCAGAGCGGCCCAAGAACTCTGGCTGAGAGCAGCACAAACAGCCGGAACGTATTCACCCAGTAAACCCCCAAAGAGTCGACATTTGTTTTATTGCTGCTTTTAAAAACCTAGCCATAAATAGAATCGGAGGGGGGAAGGGCACTGATATTTCTTCATTTGCCACAGATGATTGGTGGGGGGAGGAGAAGGAGACTCCCAGTGGGAAGAGGAAGTTTTTATTTTTATTTTTTTATTAATGAAAATCATTTCCCATGTAGTCCAATAGGATGGGTGCTTTGTTTTCTTTGGCAATAATCTGGGATAAACGACCCTTGCCAGCAGTCTCGTAGTTTATACACCAGGGAGCCAGATTATAGCCCTGTAAAATGGAGCACCCCTCCTATAATCCCTTAATTAATTAAATGACAAATTTTGGTCTTCTGTAGTTCAGAAATATGGCTTCCGCATCGAGCGTTCAGTGAATTTATTGACATAGAGAGCTGCACTGGTTGTAATTCAGTAGCCTGGAGAAATGTGTTATATACTGTAGCAGAAAAAGGGAAAACCCAGCAAAGGCTTAAAATTCCTTGACTATTTAAGTCTGAATTTTCCTAATTAAAAGTTTCAGTTGAGGCACAGTAGATCATATGCCACCTGTCTAATGGGTCTCCCCAAAGTAGCCTGTGTTTACAGCTTTGATAGATGGCATTCTTGGAACACCTGTTTCTAGGCTTGATATTTTTGAAACACATTTTTTTTTCCTCCAGCGTATTTAACATAACTTTCCCCCTATTCCTGCCCCCCCCCCAGCTCTGCTCTGCTTTATGAAATATGGGAGACGACAGACCGTTTGTGTGCAATGCCCCGGGCTGTGGACAGGTACGTTTACAATATACTTTATTGTGAATGTCTTGTTGTGAATCAAAGTGGCTGTTTTATCACTAAGGCAAAGAGTTTAAAGCCGGTATTTTACGTGATCACTGGAGGTAATCAGATCAGAGGATTTGCAGCGTGTAAATCCAGGTTATGAGGAAGTGTGGGCACTCCCCCATTATGAAATCTGCCTTGCTTTCTTCCATCTTGTTATTCTACTGATGTTTGTTTTCCAGCACAGTGTTAGAGTATGTGTTACTCTCTCTTCTGTTCTCAAACTGTCCTTCTAAACGCAAAGCAAGTTTAGAAATATCTTCTTGACTTTCTGCTTAACATATTTAGAGAGTCAGCTAAGAATGTTCCCATTCATTGTAAGCTTCCAGTTTCAGAGTCTCTATGGATTTCTCAAATAAGAAAAAGAAATGTTTCTTTTGATTGTTGATCCAGAAAAATAATGTTAACAGCTAAGGCGGATACTCCATTAGGGACAGACAAACCTAACATAGAACTTGAGATCCAGTAGTATTCTACAGACATTTCCCTCTCTGATACCATGACTTGTTCTATATGTCAGCTCCCACATAATTGTTTGCATGCGTATGCATTATATGTCAGATGTGTTCCATATACGTTTTTATATAAAATAATTCTGTTAAAATTGCCTTGTTTTTCATTTCGTATTTAACTTTTTTCCTAGATTTTTTTCTAATGTTTGTATAAGTGATACGAAAAAAATGAATAAAAGTTGTGTTGCCTTCGTGTTCTAGAACCTGAACTGCATTTGGTTAGGAACAGGTCAGGCAGCTGTTCAGTGACCTGACTGGCGGTGTGTGACACTGCAGACTGGTTCCATTATGTATTGTAAACACTTGAACAAAACCAAGAGCGAAGTCCTAGGCGTTTCTAAGAATTGGCGTTTGAGAGGAAGATGAGATGGTGATGGGACGACAAATAGAAGGAAGACCCCAGATTTCAGTAGACGCTGAGCGTTTCTGATAAGACACATAAGCCAAACTATATTCCGAAGCATTCAGCATCCTAGGCTGTATTTTCTTCCCTGTTAAAAATTTTAACGTGTGTACATGTGTTTCCATTTTCACAATAGCATCATTAAAGTAGGCATGTATCATGTCCATAGAAACAATAGTACTAAAAATAAAACATTTGAAAAGTTTTAAAATGCCAGGTAGTGATTGATGGTGCATGCCTTTAATGCCAGCAGTCAGGGAGGCCGAGGCAGGTGGACCTTTGTGAGTTTGATGCCAGCTTGAAAGTTTGAAAGTGAGTCCAGGACAGCTAAGGCTACACAGAGAAACCCTGTCTCAAAAAAGAAAAGAAAAAAAAAACTTTTAAAATGTATTTAGTACTAATAGAGGAAGGACTCTTTACTTTGGTTTCTCTCTGTGAGCCTTTTCCTACCTTTCCAGATTGTGTCTTGGTTTCTTCAGTTCTTGTAGTATCAGGCTCAGATTTGGGAAGCTTTTCCACACTAGTGGGAAGTTGAACATGGAACTTGGAACTTGAGCACTCCACTCCTTCTTTAACACAAGGATAGAACATGCCATCTCGAGCGGTCGGTGGCAATTTGACTTTACCTCCTTTGCACATCAGAAACTGTTCTTTGAGGTAAGATTATAGTTCTATAGTTATATTTAGCTCTTTAGATTTCTTCTGAGATCTGGTAACAAATAGCTCTGGAGCAGGATTTCAACAGATCGTATGATCACCTCATACCATAGAGAAAATGTGGCAGAAGATGTAAATTTGGTAAAGCCAACTACCATTTGGCATGCCATTCAACTTCCTTAAATCTTGGGAGTGGCCTCACCTTGGAACCACTCAGAGGCCTTGTAATCTACTTGTTACTGACTGAAATTATTTGTTCCCAAAGTGGTAGAAACAAACAGCTCTGTAACCCCAGGAAGGACCCCTGATAATCTTTGGAAGGCATGGCTTAGGACCCATCATTGGAAGAAAGAAGTGGTAAGGAGAGAGAGTTGCTCAGTGCTTAGAGCTGTTGATCTCACAGAGGTCCCAGGTGTGATTCCGAGGACCCGTATAGCAACTCACAACCATCTCTAGCTGTAATTACCTTCTTCTTACCTTCTCAGCCACCGTGTGACATAGAGCACAAGACATGTGCAGACCAAACATTCATATGTGTAAGGGGTTTTTTTTGGTTGGTTGGTTGGTTGGTTGGTTTTGGTTTTTGGCTTTTCAAGACAGGGCTTCTCTGTGTAACCCTGGCTAACTTGGACTCGCTTTGTAGACCAGGCTGGCCTCAAACTCACAGAGATCCACCTGCCTTTGTCTTCCTGAGTGCTGGGATTATAGGCATGTTGCCACTCTGCCTGGCTACAGGGATGATTAAAAAAAATTTTTTTTTTAATTATTTGGTTGGAGATTTCGCTCAACAGAGCTAAATGTGCAAGTATTTGTGCAAAACTCTAGGTTCAGTCTTCAGCTCAAAAAAAAAAAAAAAGCAACAAAGGGAACTATGGGAATTCTGCTTTGTTTCTGTGTGTGTTCATTGTGCAGATTCTGCCATCTGCATCTTTAAACCCAGAAATCCTCCTGTAGTTTAATATTAAGGGAAGGTGAAAGGAAAATTCACCTAAAATAGACTAGTGGATTATACACGCCACTATATAATCAAAACCACCAGGCTTTCAGTGGATATGTAAACATGGTTTGGTTGCTAGGTTTTTAATGGCTGTTATTTTTGGGTTGTGTTCATGATCTACTTCCCAACAGTCTGCTGCAACACAGCTGAGTTCTAAATACATTACATGTACTTAAAAAAAAAATGGCTACTGAAGGTTGTCTGTCTGCATTCTTGTGTAAAAAGTTGTTAAGCTTTTCAGCCATCTTATTCCTGTTGTCCTATTGAGACTGTTTCTCGTGGGGCCTCCTCACCCTCACGAAGGAGAACTTGGGGGAAACAATATTCCTGCTGAAACCTCTATGGGATGTGGTACAGCAGTCATTGATAGAGGCTAAGATGCCTCCTGAGAACAGGTTACTTTTGTTAAGGCAACAGTCTCCCAGATACCCTTCGACAGAGGCCTCGGTAAAGACAGTTGTGTGGGCTTTTGCAGCGATTACAGGGTAGCATTTATTTAAGAGCCCAGTGCACCTAAATACACCTGTAATCCCAGCCATCTGGTAAACTAACAAAAGAAGATCACAAGTTCAAGGACAGCCTAAGCAACTTTCTGAGACCGTGTCTCAAAAAATGAAAGGCCTGAGGTGCAATTCTGTGTCAGAGTGCTTGCCTAGCTTTCTTGATACCCTGGTTCAGCAGTTAAGAGCATGTAGTCCTGTTGCAGAGGACCGGGTTTGATTTGATGTGGTTTGATTCCCAGCATCTGCATAGTAGCTCACAAAGCACCTGTAACTCCAGCTCTAGAGGATCTGACACATTCTCATACATATACACATGCAAATTAAAACTAAATCCTAAAAAATGTGAAAAAAGTGAGACCTTAGTTCAATCCCCAACACTTGAAAAAAAGAAAAAAAAAAAACCTTCTGTTTAAAAACTTTGTGATTAGCCAGGTGGTGGTGGTACACGCCTTTAATCCCAGCACTCAGGAGGCAGAGACGGGCAGATCTCCGAGTTCGAGGTCTACAGAGTGAGTTGTAGGACAGCCAGGACTACACAGAGAAACCCAGTCTCAAAAAGCCAAAACAGACAAAAGTATTGTAATTATAAAATGGCTTTGCCTTTTGTTAAAATAATAGAGGTATAATTGGTGTTGAATGTAGACAGTCTTGTAAGAAAAAAACCTTTTAAGACTGGTTTTCATTATTTTGCTAATCTAAAACTTCTGAGCTCAGGTGATCTTCAGCCTCCCAAGTAGCCGGGAGTATAATTAATTATACACAGTCATACCCTGCCTAGTCCTGTAAGTTTTTAATATTTTGGTGTGCCACTCTTACTTCAAGGTCTGTTAGAAAGCCAGTAGAGTGGAAGCAAATATAAATACGATGCTAGTATCAGAAATCTTGAATTTGAGGTTTGATTTCATGTGCAGTTAGATAACTTACGGTTTGGTTGCTTCTGCCCATTTTGTGTGTGCATGAGTGCATAAGAGCTCAATCCTGGTGGCATTGTCATTACTCAGGACCCTTCCCTCCTAACTCCCTGCTCTTTTTTCCCCCTTGAATCCACTGAGTCCACTTACTGTTATCTGTATTCAAGGGTGTAGGCCATTGCTAGCGCATCGGCAGCCATTCAGCGCACACTCTGAAAACACTGACTCAGTTAATCCTGGCAGCCATCCCTTGCCAGTAGCTGCTCAGCTGGCGGTGAAACTTGATAAGTCACCTTCCTGTATGTGCTGTGATTGTGGGTGGCTTCATCTTGTGCAGATCTGGAGCAGGCAGTTGGAGCCACTTTGAGTTTGTGTGTTCAGCAGCCCGGTATAGGATCTCTCACTGGGGCCAGGAACCTCCTGAATAAGCTAGACTGGCTAGCTGGCCATAAAACCCAGGGAATCTGCATTGCTCTGACTGTTCAGCATGGAATTACAAGTGAGAGCCACCACACCTGGGTTTTCACATCGGTGTGGGGCATCAGCCTCAGCTCCTCACGCTTGCATGGCAGGCACTGAAACGGTACTATGTCCCCAGCACTTCTTACCAAGGACTCAATAGACTCCATACTGCCGTGTTGTCCTCTCAGGAACGTGGCTGCTTTGCAGAACAGATTGTGCAGATTTAAGTGGAAACTACAGATGCCATCCTCAGGTTTCCACGTAGAAGCTGGTCATGTCTGTTTACTGTGCAGGTTGTTTCTAAAGAGCAGGTATATTTCCTTGTCAGCCACTGAGAAAAGTGTCTGTTGTAACTATGCTAGACAGTCCTGCCCTTTAAGGGAAATGATTATTTTTCTGTTCAGTGTCTTCAGGTATTTACTCTCAAGATCTTTTCTCTTAGAGCACACAGACTTTCAGGTCAGTTGTACAGAAAGTTTGAGGTCAGCATGGGTTAAATGAAACCTC